AATCTAACCTTACACATAAAGGAACTAGAGAAAGAAGAACAAACAAAACCCAAAGTTAGCAGAAGGAAAGAGATCACAGCAGAAATAAATGAAATAGAAACAAAGAAAACAATAGCAAAGATCAATAAAACTAAAAGCTGGTTCTTTGAGAAGATAAACAAAATTGATAAACCATTAGCCAGACTCATTAAGAAAAAGAGGAAGGGCTTCCCTGGTGGCTCAGTGGTTGAGAGTCCGCCTGCCGATGCAGGGGACACGGGTTCGTGCCCCGGTCCGGGAAGATCCCACATGCCACGGAACGGCTAGGCTCATGAGCCATGGCCGCTGAGCCTGCGCGTCCGGAGCCTGTGCTCCGCAAAGGGAGAGGCCACAACAGTAAGAGCCCTGTGTACCGCAAAAAAAAAAAAAAGAGGGAGAGGACTCAAATCAATAAAATTAGAAATGAAAAAGGAAAAGTTACAACAGACACCGCAGAAATACAAAGCATCCTAAGAGACTACTACAAGCAACTCTGTGCCAATAAAATGGACAACCTGGAAGAAGTGGACAAATTCTTAGAAAGGTATAACCCTCCAAGACTGAACCAGGAAGAAATAGAAAATATGAACAGACCAGTCACAAGTAATGAAATTGAAACTGTGATTAAAAATCTTCCAACAAACAAAAGTCCAGGACCGGATGACTTCACAGGTGAATTAACATTTAGAGAAGAGCTAACACCCATCCTCCTCAAGCTCTTCCAAAAAATTGCAGAGGAAGGAACACTCCCAAACTCATTCTGTGAGGCCACCATCACCCTGACACCAAAACCAGACAAAGATACTACAAAAAAAGAAAATTACAGACCAATATCACTGATGAATATTGATGCAAAAATCCTCAACAAAATACTAGCAAACAGAATCCAACAACACATTAAAAGGATCATACACCATGATCAAGTGGGATTTATCCCAGGGATGCAAGGATTCTTCAGTATACGCAAATCAATCAGTGTGATACACCATATTAACAAATTGAAGAATGAAAACCATATGATCATCTCAATAGATGCAGAAAAACCTTTTGACAAAATTCAACACACATTTATGATAAAAACTCTCCAGAAAGTGGGCATAGAGGGAACCTACCTCAACATAATAAAGTCCATATATGACAAACCCACAGCAAACATCATTCTCAGTGGTAAAAAACTGAAAGCAGTTCCTCTAAGATCAGGAACAAGACAAGGATGTCCACTCTCGCCACTGTTGTTCAACATAGTTTTGGAAGTCCTAGCCATGGCAATCGGAGAAGAAAAAGAGAAGGAATACAATTTGGAGAAGAAGAAGTAAAACTGTCACTGTTTGCAGATGACATGATACTATATATAGAGAATCCTAAAGATGCCATCAGAAAACTACTAGAGCTAATCAATGAATTTGGTGAAGTTGCAGATACAAAATTAATGCACAGAAATCTCTTGCATTCCTATACACTAATGATGAAATATCTGAAAGAAATTAAGGAAACACTCCCATTTACCACTGCAACAAAAAGAATAAAATACCTAGGAATAAACCTACCTAGGGAGACAAAAGACCTGTATGCAGAAAACTATAAGACACTGTTGAAAGAAATTAAAGATGATACCAGCAGATGTAGAGATATACCATGTTCTTGGATTGGAAGAATCAATGTTGTGAAAATGACTAGACTACCCCAAGCAATCTACAGATTCAGTGCAATCCCTATCAAATCGCCAATGGCATTTTTTACAGAACTAGAACAAAAAATCTTAAAATTTGTATGGAGACACAAAAGACCCCGAATAGCCAAAGCAGTCTTGAGGGAAAAAAACAGAGCTGGAGGAATCAGACTCCCTGACTTCCGACTATACTACAAAGGTACAGTAATCAAGACAATATGGTACTGGCACAAAAACAGAAATGTAGATCAATGGAACAGGATAGAAAGCCCAGAGATAAACCCACGCACCTATGATCAACTAATCTATGACGAAGGAGGAAAGGATATATAATGGAGAAAAGACAGTCTCTTCAATAAGTGGTGCTGGGAAGAATGGACAGCTACATGTAAAAGAATGAAATTAGAACACTCCCTAACACCATACACAAAAATAAACTCAAAATGGATTAGAAACCTAAATGTAAGACCGGACACTATAAAACTCTTGAGGAAAACATAGGAAGAACACTCTTGAACATAAATCACAGCAAGATGTTTTCTGATCCACCTCGTAGAGTAATGGAAATAAAAACAAAAATAAACAAATAGGACCTAATGAAACTTAAAAGCTTTTGCAAAGCAAAGGAAACTACAAACAAGACAAAAAGATAACCCTCAGGGGCTTCCCTGGTGGCGCAGTGGTTGAGAGTCCACCTGCCGATACAGGGGACGTGGTTTCATGCCCCGGTCTGGGAAGATCCCACATGCCGCGGAGCGGCTGGGCCCATGAGCCATGGCCACTGAGCCTGCACGTCCGGAGCCTGTGCTCCGCAACAGGAGAGGCCCCAACAGTGAGAGGCCCGTGTACCGCAAAAAAAAAAAAAAAAAAAAAAAGACAACCCTCAGAATGGGAAAAAATACTTGCAAATGAATCGACGGATAAAGGATTAATCTCCAAAATATATAAACAGCTCATGCAGCTCAATATTAAAAAAACAAACAACCCAATCCAAAAATGGGCGGAAGACCTAAATAGACATTTCTCCAAAGAGAGGACATACAGCTGGCCAAGAAGCACATGAAAAACTGCTCAACATCACTAATTATTAGAGAAATGTAAATCAAAACTAAAATGAGGTATCACCTCACACCAGTTAGAATGGGCATCATCAGAAAATTTACAAACAACAAATGCTGGAGAGGGTGTGGAGGAGAAAAGGGAACCCTCTTGCACTGTTGGTGGGAATGTAAATTGATACAGCCACTATGGAGAACAGTACGGAGGTTGCTTAAAAAACTAAAAATAGAATTACCATATGACCCAGCAATCCCGCTACTGGGCACATACCCAGAGAAAACCATAATTCAAAGAGACACATGCACCCCTATGTTCATTGCTGCGCTATTTACAATAGCCAGGTCATGGAAGCAACCTAAATGCCCATCGACAGACGAATGGATAAAGAAGTTGTGGTACAATATACAGTCGAATATTACTCAGCCATAAAAAGGAACGAAATTGGGTCATTTGTAGAGACGTGGATGAATCTAGAGACTGTCATACAGAGTGAAGTAAGTCAGAAAGAGGAAAACAAATATCGTATATTAACATATATATGTGGAACCTAGAAAAATGGTACAGATGAATTGGTTTGCAGGGCAGAAATAGAGACGCAGATGTAGAGGACAAACGTATGGACACCAAGGGGGGAAAGCAGCAGGGGGTGGGTGTGGTGGTATGCTGAATTGGGAGATTGGGATTGACATGTATACACTGATGTGTATAAAATGGATGACTAATGAGAACCTGCTGTATAAAAAAGTAAGTAAAATAAAATACAAAAAAAGAAAAGCAAGATGCAGAAAATGTGAATAGTATGACCCTGTTTTTGTAAAACAACAATAAAAATATTTCATGTACATGTATATATGTGTAAAAAACAAAAAAAAGAACTTTTCATGTGCTCATTGGCTATTTGTTTATCTTCTTTGGAGAAATATTTATTCAGAGTCTGCCCACTTTTTAATTGGGTTGTCTTTTTTTTATTGAATTGGAGGAGTTCTTTCTGTATTCTAAATGTAAGGCCCTTATCAGATACATAATAGCACGTATTTTCTCCCATCCTTTGGGGTTGTGTTTTCATTTTTTTGAAAGTGTTCTTTGCAGCACACAAGGTTTTAATTTTGATGAAGTCCAGTTTATCAAATTTTCACTTGTGTGTTTGGTGTCATATGTAAGAATCCACTGCCAAATCCAAGGTCACAAATATTTTGTCTAAAGTTTTATAGTTTTAGCTCTCCAATTATTTAAATTTAAATTAATTAAAATGAAATAAAATGTAGAATTCAGTTCCTCAGTTGTGCTCCCACATTTCAAGTGTTCACATGGCTAATATCTACCAAATAAGTCAGTGCAGGTACAGAACATTTCCACCATCACAGGAAGTTCTTTTGGACACACAAACACTTTAAAGGAACGCAGTAGTAGAAAGTGAGCTAAGGACTTGAACAGTTAGTTCACAGAAAGAGAAATGGGCAAGCTCAGGTACATAAAATTGTTTAATAGTTAAAGAATTCTAAATTAGGACAGAGACAGCATTTTTAGTCCCCCAGATTGACTGTGTCTACTTCCTTCAGGTCTTGACTCAGAAATCACACCAGTGCGGCCTTCCCTTGCCTACCCTGTTTAAAATTTCAGATCTACCCTCTCCATTTCCTGCCTTTTCTCCTTAGCTCTTACCATTAGCTTACCCTATATTTAACTTATTTTTCTTGTTTATTGTCAGTTTCCCCCCTCTTCGAATGTAAAATCCATGAGAGCCTATTTTACTCACTATTGTCTCTCCAATACCTTGGATATTCCCAGATATGGCAAAAACTCAAATCCGTGTTGTTGAATGAGAGCTGGCAATGTGTAGAGAAACAAGTGCTCTTATACACTGTTCTCAGAGAGTGAATTGGTCCACCCTTTTTGGAAGCAATTGTGTGGTATGTAAAAGTCTCAAAATTGTGCTTGCCTTTTGACCCAATATTTCTCCTTCTAGGTATTTAGCATAAGGAAGTAATTAAAGCTGTACACAGAGATACGGCTGGAATATTCAGCCACAATGGAATGCTTTTACCTGCAGTCAAGAAAACTCTTGAACTGACACTGTAAGGAATGTAGATTGTTTTTTTAAATGTGGCATCAAGAAGTGTTTTGCAGAGCTGTTCAAAACAGATCTTCCTTTCTTTCCTAATGCTTTAGCATTTAAAAGTATGTCTCATTACTGACTTTTCTGGTCTGCTTCTTAAGTAAAACTAAAACTTACTTATACAATTTTTTCCCACAGGTCCCTTAATATGGACTTTGAAAATCAAGATAAGGAGAAAGACAGTAACAGTTCTTCTGGGTCTTTCAATGGCAACAGCACCAATAATAGTAAGGCATTTTATGACAATTAGCTTTTCACATGTAGTTGTCTTAATTTGATTCTTTCTATAACCCCAGTAGATAATTTACTGGGTTCAAGGATTATGTTTGGTATAATAATAAAATTAAATCTGTATGGTATAATTTGTTAAAGTCTTATGTTCTGAACCTGAATTACGGATTTCTTGTGTACTGCTTTTAATTCATGCCTAAAAGCTTGCTGCCAAGATTCTTTTTTTTTTTTTGCGGTACGCGGGCCTCTCACTGTTGTGGCCTCTCCCACTGCGGAGCGCAGGCTCAGCGGCCATGGCTCACAGGTCCAAGCCGCTCCGCGGCATGTGGGATCCTCCCGGAACGGGGCATGAACCCGTGTCCCCTGCATCGGCAGGCAGACTCTCAACCACTGTGTCACCAGGGAAGCCCTATTTTCTTTTTTTAAATAAATTTATTTATTTTACTTTATTTATTGTTTTTGGCTGCGTTGGGTCTGCGTTGCTGTGTGCGGGCTTTCTCTCGTTGTGGCGAGCAGGGGCTACTCTTTGTTGCGGTGCGCGGGCTTCTCATTGCGGTGGCTTCTCTTGTTGCGGAGCGTGGGCTCTAGGCACACAGGCTTCAGTAGTTGTGGCTCACGGGCTCTAGAGCACAGGCTCAGTAGTTGTGGCACACGGGCTTAGGTGCTCCGTGGCATGTGGGATCTTCCCGGGCCAGGGCTTGAACCCGTGTCCCCTGCATTGGCAGGCAGATTCCCAACCACTGCGCCACCAGGGAAGCCCTCTTTATTTTCTTAAAGACGAACAGGATAGATGGGTATCTGCCTGCTTATAACTTCATTTAAATCCTTTGGTGAGGTTGATAATTTTGTAGGTGTTGATCATAAATTCATTTAGTGATTCTTAAAGATAGCTACTTGAAGTACTTGTAAAACTATTGTATCTTTTCTGATACTTAAGATTTTAAAGAATGTTTGCTTTGAAAAAACAGAAGTGTGCTATATGGCAAGTATTCAGCAGCATTATTCATCATAGCCAAAAAGTAGAAGCAACTGGAAGATCAATAAACTAGTTAATGGATAAACAAAAGATGGTATGTCCATACAATGGAATACTATTCAGCATTAAAAAAAGTTAATTACTGAAATATGCTCCAACATAGATGAACCTCAGAACACTGTTAAGGGCTTCCCTGGTGGCGCAGTGGTTAAGAATCCGCCTGCCAACGCAGGGGACACAGGTTCGAGCCCTGGTCCAGGAAGATCCCATGTGCCGCGGAGCAACTAAGTCTGCAAGCAACAACTACTGAAGCCTGTGTGCCTAGAGCCCGTGCTCTGAGATGAGAAGCCACCACGATGAGAAGACCGCGCACCGCAACTAGAGAAAGCCCACACGCAGCAGCAAACACCCAGTGCAACCAAAAATAAAATAAATTAATTTTTTAAAAAATTGTTAAGTAGGGCTTCGCTGGTGGCGCAGTGGTTAAGAATCCGCCTGCCAATGCATGGGACATGGGTTCGAGCCCTGGTCCAGGAAGACCCCACATGCTGCAGAGCAACTAAGCCCGTGTGCCACAACTACTGAGCCTGCGGTCTAAAGTCTGTGAGCCACAACTACTGAGCCCACGTGCCACAACTAATGAAGCCCGTGCGCCTAGAGCCCGTGCTCCACAACAAGAGAAGCCACCGCAATGAGAGACCTGTGCAGTGCAAGGAAGAGTAGCCCCTGCTCGCCGCAACTAGAAAAAAGAAAGCCCGCGTGCAGCAACAAAGACCCAACACAGCCAAAAATAACTAACTAAATAAATTAAGTAAAAATAAATTAAGTAAAAATAGTCAGATAGAAAAACTACATATTGTATGAGTCCATTTATATGAAATTTCCAAAAAGGCAACTATATAGAGACAGAAAACAGATTCGTGGTTGCTTGGGGCAAGGGATGGGAAGGAGAATTAACAGTAAACTGGCATGAGGAATCTTCTTGAGGTGATGAAGATATTCTAAAACTAGATTATAGTGATGGTTTCACACTTGGTAAACTTACACAAAAAAAAGTATTGAATTACACACTTAAACTGGGTAAATTTTATGGTATGTAAATTGTACTAGAAAATTGGTAATGCTTATTATAGAAAGAGAACTGAATTTAGAAGTAAGGAGACTTGATTTGATAATACTAAGAGATTGATATTGGGTACCTACCATGCGCTTGGCATTTATTACGTATTTTGAAAGATGCGAAAGTACAAGAGCTGGTACTCAAGCTGTCACGCAGGCAGTGTGGCCAAAATACTTCCCAAGGTGTTAATAAAGTGCTAAGACAGAGCAAATACCACTTTCCACACTATACCTAGAGCAGGTACTTTTTCTTATGGACCCTTACCATAGCCTCAGAATCTACTATCAATAGATCAGAGTAAGCACCAGAGGGAAGTCATTTTGACATCCATGTACAAAGAGAAAAAAGAGAAAGGCAAGCCAAAGTGAGCAACAGTGGGTCAACTTAGTAAGGGACTCTCCTGGAGAAAGTGAATTTGACATGAAACAGTGAACTTGGATTGCTGGAGAAGTTCCTCCAGGTGGGAAGAGCATATAATACAGGCACAGAGGAGGAGAATAAGAGTGACTTGTAGGACAAATCAAGGTCACTGCCTAATAGGGAGGAAAGACTGGAGATCTAACATAAAGTTAATAGAATATTGATGGAGGATCTTAGAAACTAAATTGAAAAGAGATCACTTAATATCTATTTCATTTTCTACCCCATCAACTAAATTATACTTGCCCAATTTTCACTGAGTTAAATGTGTTTCATTGTCCCCAGCAATGTAAAGTGGGCATGACAAATACAGTAAGTAGAATCATTTAAATATAATGAGCCTTTTCTTAAACTTATGACACACACACACACAAAAACTTATGACACAGATCCTTATATTAAGTAAAATACCATACCAGTAACTTCACAGGAACCAGGTAAAACCCAGTGTCAGTATCCAATTTTAGGGTTAAATTATTACATAGCAGCTTACCTTCTATCAATAGTTTAAACCAAATCACTACATACACTTGAAACTCCTTTAAATTCCTGTTATGTAGCATATATACAAATGATGTACTTAAACCAGATTACAAATCTGTTGTGCATTGCATCACATACACCTAAAAGAAATCAGTAGTATGTATCTAAGTACCATTTTATCCTCAAATAAATGGTTAAGTCAGTCCGTGCAGTGGAAGGAATTTACCTGGTAACATCAGTTTTGTATTTCTCATTGTTAATCAGCATCTAAAGAGTAGTTGGTGGTTGTTTAATGGTAATTTCCTTGAATCTACCTCTTGTGTTGTGCTAAAATTATCCTCAACAAAAGTTATTTCTTCAGTGCCTAATCTGGGCCATGGATACCAAAAAGGATAAGCACAGACCAGGACAGAATGCAGTCCACTTCCACATAATCAGGAAAAACATAATGAAAGAAATGGCCATTGCAGAGAAGGCCAGTACTTGATTATGGAACATGGTATCATTCCAGTTTGAAGGGGTGGCATGGAAAACGGGATGCAGTCATCAAAAATCAAAGAAATAATAATAGCCAGAAAAATGAACAGAAACATGAGATGGCGTAGGTGCTGAGGAGATTGAAATGCTTAACAATGAAGATTAACAAGAAGAATTGGGGGGAGTTCTAAGAAAAGGAGGGTATGACTTTAGTGTTAAGATTTTGCCAAGTGTTACAAACTAATTAATGAAGAAGAAAGTAGATAGATGTTTTTTAAAAGTTGCAGTTGCCTACTCCCAAAATACGAATCAAGGAATTTGTGAAAAAGACATGAAAATTAATGAACTACAGCTATGTATAACAGCGTGGATGTTTCTAACAATGTTGAGTGAAAGAAGCCAGACACAAAAAAATACATACTACATAATTCAGTGTATATAGTAAGTTCAGGAAACAGGCAAAATAAATATTAGTATTTTAGGATGCATGCTTGGTAGAAAACAAAGCAAATAAAAAGTACTGTAAAAGCCAGGATATAATAGTAGTTCCCTTTGGGGGAAAGAGAGCAGTGATTGGGAGGGACACAAGAAAGACTTTTGGCCTTGGCAAGTTCTCTTTCTTGGGTGGTATTAGCCATGTGATGATTCAGTGAACTCTACATCTTTGTTTCATGTACTTTTCTGTATGTGTGTATGTTTTACAGTAAAGACGGTTAGAAAGTGGAGGGGAGGGAGTTCCTTCCAGGTCCTCTCTGATTTTCCCTAACCTTGTTCTAACTCCCATCTTATCCCTGAATCTGCCCCAGGAAACCTATATAGAAATTTTCCCCTTCTGGCACACCACTCCTTCATCTAATTAGCATTAAGAGGGTTTAAACAACAACAACAAAAACAACCCCCCCCCCACCTCCAATTATCTGATACCTTGAAGTTCTTTACTAGGCTTCCCCTATAATTTATTTGAACTGTGAAGACTGATGGAGATGTACAGTTGAATTCTCTTCATTAATAGAGAAACACATCTTAATAGAGAAACACATCTTAATCTCCCCACCTAGACTGCAAACCCCATAAGCTCTGGAAATGAGTTTTAAAAAAAACATCCTTGCTTCTCTCATGGAGGTGCAAAATCAGTAACTTTCATAAACAGTTATCAGTACTACATTGGTGTATTGCTCTGCAACCTGTTCACTAAATACAAAAAATAATGTCTCTGTACATAATTTTTAATTCCCTCATCATGCCTATTTCTTACGTTGATTTTCCCTTTAAAGGTAAAGCCACTGCAGTTGAGTAAGTCCGCCCAACTATGGCTGCTGTCTTTTGCTTTTGCTCTGTTCTGTTTTGTCACTGGAGTTTGGCTAAAATTTCTAATTAATTAGCTCCTTCCCCTTCAGGACCATTATTTCCAGACCTTTAGGAAGTACAGTATTAAAGTTGTGTACATTATTTTTGGTAACATATTGTAAGCAACTAAAGGAGCTTCACTTGCCCTGTGACATTGCTGTTTGATAGACTCTCTTGGGCAGTCCTTCTGTAAAACTAATGGAAATAACGTCTAATACTTACTGGTTTAAAATCTGTGCTTTCAAAAAACAAAAATCTGTGCAGTCTATCTAATATTCTAGAAAGGTTCTTTGTATTCTGTTTCGCATTTTAATTGCAGACTGAACTCGTAAAATTTAGATTGATTATAAACAAATACTTCTCATATGCCTGCCTTAGTAAACAGTCTTTGTTCTAGCCATTTGATTTTTTTCTTCTCATATTTTAAACCAGTATAATTAATCTGTAGACTATATGATGCTTTGTTTTACAGAAGGAGGGGGGTGTGGGTGTGTATTTTCAGATTTATAGATTTTTTTAAAAAGATTTGTTTCTTATATAACAAATAATCATTTATTTGAGAAAACATTATTTTCTGTTGTGAAAGGCATCTGAAATCTAGCTTCCTCAAGTAGTTCTTTGAACTATTGTAGAGCACTCAAAAAAAAACCTAGGTGAAATTTAGTTAGAGATTTCATAGAGTTTTGCCTTACAAATGCCCATAAGATACTTTAAGATATGCGCCCCCCCCCAAAAAAAAAAAAAAACCTATCCATGGGCCAAGATGAATGGGTTTGACTGCAGTTCAGGTCAGACTCTTCACCAGATCATTTCTGTTTGTCTTGACACATGGCTCACTCTTCTGAAGTTGAATTGCCCTATTCCTTAGTGAATTATTTGACTCATCTACCTAGCCAATAAGAAGCAATTTTGTTTTGTAGAAATATTTAATATTCATTTCACAAAAATCCCTAAATAGCTTTCTTGAGGACAGGTAAATTTGAATACTGATGAGCAGTTTTTGTTTTTAATTTATTTATTAATTTTTGGCTGCATTGGGTCTTCGTTGATGTGCGCAGGCTTTCTCTAGCTGGCGAGCAGGGACTATTCGTTTCAGTGCGCGGGCCTCTCATTGTGGTGGCTTCTCTTGTTGGGAAGCATGGGCCCTAAGCGTGCAGGCTTCAGTAGTTGTGGCACGTGGGCTCAGTAGCTGTGGCTCACAGGCTCTAGGGTGCAGGCTCAGTAGTTGTGGTGCACGGTCTTAGTTGCTCCGCGGCATGTGGGATCTTCCCGGACCAGAGCTCGAACCTGTGTCCCCTGCACTGGCAGGTGGATTCTTAACCACTGTGCCACCAGGGAAGCCCCCAAAATAAAATCTTGTGGGGAGTTTTTCCTGGACCTACTAACCCTTGAGATTTCAGTTTAGTTGGCTCTGGGGTTGGGCCCGGGCACTGTGATTTTTTTAAAGCTGTCCAGGTGATTCTAATGAGCAGCCAAGACTTGAGAACCACTGTGCTAAATCCTGCTCTATCCCAAGAGCTTCTGGTTCCCCCATTTATCTCCTATTTACTCTTTAAAATGTTCCCACAAAGAAATGTTTTTGATTTACTGTTTCCAGATATATCTTGTTCTCCCCCCCTCCCCCACCAAAGTCAGTCCTCAACTATTAGCAACAATGGGAAAGAATGAACATGAGTACATTAAATCCACAGATGATGAGAAATTATTTTAGTCAGGGGGTTTAAACCACCTCTCTTACCAAACCTATATATACAGGACCACAGATGTACTCAAATTGACTAAAATGAATTTTTACTGCCTCTTAATGTTCTTGTTTGCTGTTTGTTTGTTTTGGCACCCTGTCATCCAGATGGTAGCACCAGGAGGTAGTAAGTCAATTCAACAAGTATTTCTTGGGCACCTACTATAATAAAGGCACTATGAGGACAGCAAGGAGCTCACAGTCTTCACTGGGAAGGAGAGAATCCAAGGGCCTAGATAATCTATATTTTATATACTAATCCCTAGAACTGTCTGCATTTTATGAGTTAATGTATCTGAAGTACATGGGTACAGTGTCTATTAGGTAAGTCGTTGATATGTCCCTTTTTCTCTTTCAGGTATCCAAACTATTGACTCTACCCAGGCCCTGTTCCTTCCAATTGGAGCATCTGTCTCTCTCCTAGTAATGTTCTTCTTCTTTGACTCAGTTCAAGTAGTTTTTACAATATGTACAGCAGGTAAATGAGTTCCTCTATCTGATCTTAACATTAAGCTGAAAGGAAATTTTTAAAACTTTTTTAAAATCATCATTCAAAAATTAAGATTTATACACTGCACTGTGCAAGTTTTTCTTCATAAGTCTGGCTTTTTCTCCCCCAACTCCTCCTTGAACCACTTGACACCTGTATCATCAGTTCAGTCCTGCAAGATACTTGATACCTGTATCATCCATTCAGACCTGCCAACCCAATCTGAATGAAAGGCCAGGGGTTGAAAACTCATGAGCTTTGTGGCACCAGAGCAGAATTGCTTTGGCTGTGGCTCCTTGTCTGCTAGGTTACCAGAAAGTCCAGTTGGCAGAGTAGTCGTTGGCAACCCCTACCCATGTTTCTGCCGATAGAAACACTCATAGCTGATCACAGCAATTCGACTGTCAGCTATCTGACCGTTTTCAAGCTGAGCGACGATGGACATGTGTGAAACATCAAAATGCTAGACTTGTTAGATCATACCCTGGCCCGCTGTTTATCATTTCTTGTTGAGATAGGTGAGAAAGAGAAAACCTACCAATGCTACCCCTACTTCAAATCAGGTAATCTTTTTTTAAGAGGTTGTCTGTGTGGTGCTAAAGAAAGATACTTTTCTTCTCTAGTTAATTAATACTATTGTATGCACTTGTCGAGAAAAGTATTCTGGGCAATGATTGTTTCCATAAGTCATGCCATTTTTCGTATGCTTAGTAAAATAATAAACAACAAAAAAATTAACCATACATTTTCTTTCTCTAGTTCTTGCAACGATAGCTTTTGCTTTTCTTCTTCTCCCGATGTGCCAGTATTTAACAAGACCCTGTTCACCTCAGAACAAGTAAGGACTTGGGATTTTCCTCTAAATTGTAAACTTGTATATGTATGTTTTTGTCTCATACTTGATAGCAGTATTAGGGGTCTAAATTTTTGGTATTGACTGAAGCACACAAATGCCAGAAGACTGGAAAGTGAAATGTTTGATTTTTTTAAAACTGTAAGATAGTACTTCTTTTTGCACCTTTTCGTAGCAGAGGAAATATAAACAAATCTTAGGAAGTCAGAGTCACTGTAATATGCTTCCTTGCTTTGATTATATTGAAAGATGAGTTTTCTTTTGAAGCAACGTTTTCATTCCTTTACTAGTTAATGGAATATGAAAATAGTGCTTGACTCAAACATTCTTTGCCTTTCGTCTTTGATGACCTAGAATATATACCAGCCACTGGGGTTTAATCCCAGTGTTCACACTTTAACTCCTAAAGCCGTTGCTCCATGGAAACAAAATGCTGTGCTAATGGAGAATGCTGTATGCACTTAGGAAATCAGTCACTTGGGGCGGCTGATTTTCCCAGGAATTAGTGATAACCATAGATGTACCATCTTAATTTTATTCATCTTTGCTTAATGAATTGAATTGTTGACTTTCTTCATTTTGTTTTCCTCATAAGAATTAGAATTTCCCCTACATTTAGATTTTCTAAAGATATTATCACTTTAAACTTCTCAATACCCATCCCATGTTGATAATTTGGGATAAAAAGTACATTATCTAATGGATGCAGAAGTATAATTCCTTTGAACTTTCTGTAGTTTTTTCCAGAGAGATTTGGGTATTTTGGATTTCTGGGTATCTAGGTATTGCCTACTATTTTAATCTGGCCATCACAAATTCTGATAATGAAGAACCAAAGGAGAGTTTGATTATTGAATATAATTTATTGTCCATTAGTCCAATACATGTTGTGTATTTTCCAGGATTTCCTTTGGTTGTTGTGGGCGTTTCACTGCTGCTGAATTACTATCATTCTCTCTGTCTGTCATGCTCGTCCTCATCTGGGTTCTCACTGGCCATTGGCTTCTCATGGATGGTAAGTAACTACTATGTGACAAGTTGAAATTTTAATATCATTTATGGTTAAATTTGTCCTCTCTTCCTCTGCTTTCTGTGTTTTAGTAGTGGTACCTCTGATTACCATGAAAATTAGGTGTCCACAGATGGCGTTATGTATCAGATTTTTCATTATTTTTACCTACATTCTTAAGATCTTTTTTAATAACAGCTTTTTGGGGATGTAATTCACATACCATACAATATACCTATTTAAAGTGTACAATTCGGGGGACTTCCCTGGTGGTGCAGTGGTTAAGAATCCGCCTGCCAATGCAGGGGACTCCTGTTCGAGCCCTGGTCCAGGAAGATCCCACATGTCATGGAGCAGCGAAGCCCGCGAGCCACAGCTACTGAAGCCCGTGTGCCTAGAGGCCGTGCTCTGCAACAAAGAGAAGCCACCGTAGTGAGAAGCCTGCACACCGCAACGAAGAGTAGCTCCCACTCACTGCAACTTGAGAAAGCCTGCATGCAGCAATGAAGACCCAGTGCAGCCAAAATTAATTAATTAATTAATTAACTTATTTTAAAAAATGAAGTGTACGATTCGGTGGTTTTTAGCATATTTGCAGAGTTGTGCAACCTACACTACAATCAGTTTGGGGTTTTTTTTGTTTTTTTAATTTTTTTTTAATTTTTGGCTGCATTGGGTCTTCGTTGCTGAGCAGGGGCTGGTCTTCGTTGCTGAGTGGGGGCTTCTCTTCATTGCAGTGCGCAGGCTTCTCATTGCGGTGGCTTCCCTTGTTGCAGAACACAGGCTCTAGGCACGTGGGCTTCAGTAGTTGTGGCACGTGGGCTCAGTAGTTGTGGCTCATGGGCTCTAGAGCACAGGCTAAGTAGTTGTGGCACACGGGCTTAGTTGCTCCGCGGCATGTGGGATCTTCCTGGACCAGGGCTCAAACCCGTGTCCCGTGCATTGGCAGGTGGCTTCGTAACCACTGTGCCCCCAGGGAAGTCCCCGGTTTGTTTTGTTGTTTGTTTGTTTTTTAAATGTATTTCGGTTGCGCTCGGTCTTAGTTGCGGCTCACTGGTGCCTCAGTTGTGGCATGTGAACTCTTAGTTGCGGCATGCATGTGGGATATAGTTGAACCTGGGCCCCCTACATTGGGAACACGGAGTCTTATCCTCTGCGCCACCAGAGAGGTCCCCTACAATCAGTTTTAGAGCATCTTCACATCCACCCTCCAAAACCCACACCCAGTAGCAGTCACTTCCCCATTCCCCCCACCCCAGCCCCGGGCATCCACTAATCTACTTTCTATCTCTGTGAATTTGCCTCTTGTGGACATTTTGCATAAATAAAATTACACATGACCTTTTGTGTCTGCCTTCTTTCACTCAGCATAATGTTTTCAAGGTTCATCCATGTTGTAACTTGTATCAGTACTCCATTCCTTTTTATGGCCAAATACTGTTTAATTGTATAGATGCATTAATTTTATTTATCCATTCATCAGTTGTTTCCACTTTTTTGGCTATTGTGAATAATGCTACTGTGAAAACTGGAATACAAATTTTTGTGTAGACTATACTTTCTTAATATAAATGGAATTATACTGTAATATATCCATATTATATATAAATATATGTGGAATATATAATGTATGTCATGTAATATGTTGTATATGATAGAGATTTCTTTTGTGTAATAATATAAATACATGTCTATATCATTTTATAAAGGTACTAATAGCTAACATTTATTGAGTGCTTTTTATGCACTGGGCACTCTGCTGGGTGTTTTACATGGACTTTCTCATGTAATCCTGAATACAGCTCTTTGAAGTAGGTACTAGTATTGTTCTTATTTTACAGAAGAGGAAACAGGTTCTGAGAAGTGACTAACCACATTCACAGAACTCCTGTGTATATTTCATACGTACTATCAAAACATCTTGATAGTTGTTTTGATAGAAGGACATTTCTCAGAGTCCGCCATTATTCTTCTGTTCTCTCCCTTAAGACATTGTTAGACTTTTATTTAAGACCCTGTAACCATCTCCACCTCTTTTTTCATTCAGTCCTTATTACTTCTCTTATTTTCATAGTTTGCTTTACTAATCTCATGAAATTTTATCTAACTGCTCTGCTCCACAAAGTCTGTTCACCTTTTCCTTTCTTGGTGTTTCAGAAGGGAAGGAAGCTGAAACACAAAAGTCAATTTTATACTGTTTGTAACACTATCTAAAGAATTTTTTTAAGGGAGGAATTTGGAAAGCAGAGATTATGGGTATGGATCACACTTTTTCCTGTTACCCATTCCAAGCAACCATGAGGCTAATCCAGACCTTGGAACGGAGCTCTTTGGAGGCAGTGCCACGTCTGAGGGGCTCCTCTCCTCTCCAGGCACTGTGTCCCTGGCAGCTCTGAGGACGGCTCAGCTACAGTGGTGCTGTCATTGAGTGTTCAGGGAGGCTCCCCAAACCCTTACTGGCCTTAACTTTTATATCGTTTTCTGTCATTGTTGCTACTTCCCAATATCTACTTGTCCAAGGATCTCTTACCAGTTTACACTAGTTACATTGCCCTTGTGACCAAGCTTAGTTTTCCCTCAAAAAAAAAAAAAAAATGGAGAGAGTCTTTGAGCTTTTTAGTTGTTTGTTTCTCAGATTGGTATTTGATGTGTGTTTGACTTGTTTTCTGCTATTAACAGAAAAGATAGCTTTCTAGCACGTGACTGTAACATTCTGAAATATGTTCTTCTGAAAACAGAATGATAAATGTGGTTATTTTAAAGGGCGAGGCATGAAGTATGTTTTCAGAGTTATACCAAGAAGCATTAATATTAAGAAAGTACTTCAGAGTTTTTTGAACTAAATCTATAATTTTTTATCTACTCAGTTTCATCTTACAAATTAATCTTTTAAATTTGGGAAGACTTGAAAGAATTTGACCAGTAAGTGGTGTGGTATGTTTGCAAAAGCTGATGAATGAAGAAAAAGAGGCAAACTGTATGAATAGTTGAGCGTGTGTTTCAGGGATGTGACATGGCTGGTGGCACTGTTCAGTTGGGGGGTGGGAGTGATTCTCATTCAACATGCTTGTATTAAGAACCTTCTCTGAAGTAGTCAGATGGGATGCATGCTGCCTCTTCAGACATGGAGTACGGTGGGGAGACTTGGTGGGCATGATTGGAAAGAGGTTATCGCTCAACTTAGAGAAGGAGTAGGTGGAGGCATAGGAGCAAAAGAAGAGGCTTGAGGCCAAGCGCGTGTGGTGCAGCGCCATTCTGTGTGAGTTATGCCTTTACAGTCGGACTTGATTCTTCAGAGAGTAGGGGACCTTGTGATTTAAGGCAGGGAATGACGTGAACTGATTTTTGACAATGGCAGTGAAGAGTAAGTGGGGGAGAGAGACAGAAAATGGGAAAGGATACACACATCACACTAGGAAGTATGGGAATCATGACCGAGGTGTGCCGTGACAGTCGAGAGGAGCACCCCAGGTGGTTGCAGCCTGAGTGTGCGTGATGAAGGTTACGATAAGATGAAAAGGAACCCAGAGTTTCTTGTTTGGAAGACTAGGGATAGAATGACATTGTGTGGAGTCATGGAGAATCCTGTCATTGAGCAGTTCTGAGTTGTTGTGTTTAGTTTAGACCCAGGTGGGGAGGATGAGCATAAAATGAGTGGCTGGAACAGTGTCCTTAAGTAAGTGAAAAAGATGTGATCCAGGGTGTGCATTGGCTTTAAAGGAGCAAGGGCGATGCATCTGAAGTAATGGGGGGAGGCAGGAGATGAGAGCTGGGAGGCCGGAACTGAGCTTGGCTTAGAGCTTTAGCATTCAGAACAGTCCCCTGGGTCTTAGTTGAGCACCATCTATAGCATGAGAAAAGGGATTTCCCCAAATACGAGCAGGTCACAGTTGGCTAACGGTGGGCACTTTGCACTAGTAAGGTGTAAACATCTTAGACTGGGGTTTAGGGCTGCCTGATTTTTTGAGGGACTTACAAACTCTGTTAGGTTTATGAGCTGAATAGCTTGTGGAGAGAAGCTGAGCCTGTGCTCCACACTGACTGCTGTCTCCTCCCCAGCCCTGGCCATGGGTCTCTGTGTCGCTATGATCGCCTTCGTCCGCCTGCCCAGCCTCAAGGTCTCCTGCCTGCTTCTCTCAGGGCTTTTAATCTACGATGTCTTTTGGGTGAGTGTCTGTTTCCCCAAAGCTGCTGCTCTCCTTTGTGTTTAATTGGAACATTCACTCCGGAAAATTTTTAACTCTAAATATCCAAAGTCTGCTTGCCAGAGTACCTCCTGTCTGAGACCACTCCGGCCTGCACTGTACCTGTTAAAAGGTGAGCAGGCAGCTTTCCGTGCCTGTGTTTGTCGAGACTCGTTACCATAGAGGGTACACGTGTGACTCTCGGGGTGGAAAAGGAAGCAGGCAGGCTAGGTTCTCTGCCCTGGAGCACTGGCAGCTCTGCTGTAAGGGCTTCCTCTGTGGGTGTGGAGAGAAAAAATCTGCACGTACACACAGGAGCAAAGATTTTCTTTCTCCTCAAAGCGTGCCGTCTAAAAAGCTTGATGATGCAGTACTGAGACTCTGCTCTTAAGAACAAAGAGGGCTGGTGCTGAGATCGGGGTGCTTCCAGCTCCCTCTGGTAAAGGTGACTCTCCCCTCGGCAGGTGTTTTTCTCTGCCTACATCTTTAATAGCAACGTCATGGTGAAGGTGGCCACACAGCCGGCTGACAATCCCCTTGACGTTCTATCCCGGAAGCTCCACCTGGGGCCCAATGTTGGGCGCGATGTTCCTCGCCTGTCTCTGCCTGGAAAACTGGTCTTCCCCAGGTAAGACTGGCGTGTCGGCCTCATCTCATGATGGTGAGGACACTGCCTTCCTCTGCCCCTCTGTTCCCCAGTTTGTCTGTCTTTGTCATCAGCATTCTGATGCTGGACTGGAAAAGGGTTGTGAGTCATCTCCATTTTACAGATGGGGTCAAGAATACTGACTTAACTTGCAAAGACTGATCATTAAGTGATACAGGTGCAGCTTTTTAATATTGAATAATGTTATCAAACAACTCTATGTTACCCCTGTTACCATAGTTTAAAGTTGGCTAGAGGGAATTAACGGGAGAATCTGGATCTTTTTTACTTCTAAGACATTTGTAAAAATGTCTTAATGCTAAAATTATACAGTTCCTGGAACTATAATCTTGGAAAAATTAATGTGCTGCTTTAATCTCCCATGTCTGGTAGTAGTAGGTGCTTATTTGAAGTCTTAGCAGTGAATGTGTGACACATAGTGAGCTGCTTGACATTTCTAGAGGTGGCAGCGCTCAAGCAGATGGCTCCAGCAGTCACTTAGGCGGTGCTCTCCCGAAGCACTTAGGGTGGGGCTGAAGACCTCAATCGCCAGTACTCTTGTGGCTCTTAATCTCTGAACGCTTAAAAACTAGTGTTGTTAAACCCATAGAGATTGCCATCTACCGTTCAGATAAGTTCTTTGACTTCTTAGAAAGTGAACAGACTTTGCGCAGGAGGAGAAATGGGGTTGTAGAAGGCGGCACCCCTGACATGTGACACTACGTTCCAGCTCCACTGGCAGTCACTTCTCTATGTTGGGCATTGGAGACATCGTGATGCCTGGACTCCTGTTGTGCTTTGTCCTTCGTTACGACAACTACAAAAAGCAAGCCAACGGTGACTCCTGCAGTGCCTCTGGACCCGCCAACATCTCCGGACGCATGCAGAAGGTTTCCTACTTTCACTGCACCCTCATTGGATACTTCGTAGGTAAGAGAACCAGAGAGACTGCATGCAGTCCCCTCTCTGGCTGTCCTCCAATCCCTGGAATTAAATCAGGTCTTCTAGCTGCAGATGCCAGATGAAAGGAAAGCAGTGACTCTGGTTGCTGTTATAAACAACCACAAAGGAAAAAAACTGACCCACGAGATGAAAGATGCTCTATGTGTTGGCCAGCAGCCTAGTTCCCTATCCAATAATATGTTTGAAGAACATTGCAGGAAAAGTGTGGTCAGGCCTCAAAGTTGAGAAGACCTACCACACGATGAAATCTTCGGCTTGAGTTTAACGAATGTCATGTTTATTTCCTACTTTATTAGACAGATACTTCCTTTCATCTGCTCTAACATTTCCATCACCTCTGACCTCGGACTCTCCCTCGGCCAGCTTTTCTCTAGCCAGCTCTGATTCGGGCAGACAGGAAGAGACGGTTGTAATTGGGCTAGTAACCTGTTTGTACTCCAACAGCTACGACAGTGAACGGAAAGGAGCACCTTTCTTGCCTCTGTGCCTCCTACTGAAGGAGCACCTCATAGTCCACGGTGCTCTCATAGGTGTGGGTTCATTGCCACTCCACTCCACTGGCTCTGAGGGGGGCAGGGCAACTGTGGTATCCCCATTAGACGGATGAGCAGGCTGAGGCTCAAGACGTGAAAGGCCTTAGCCAAGGTTATATGGCTGTCATAAGCAGCAGAGTTGAAACTTGAACCCAGGTCTCTGCCTCCAAGTCTGTCATCATATACCACAGGAGACAGAGGGAGACCAGGCACACTCAGGGCTGAAATGAGGCCTGGAACCAGGGACCTGGGCATGGAGTGGGACTTGGGCTACTCACAGGTCCTTAGAATTCTACGCTTTTGAAAGCTGTGCTGCTCCCTGTTTCTTTACCTGCTCAAGCTGGGCATTTCACTCCCCACCATTGGATGGAATGTGTCACATTACAGCTGTACAATCTCAGGACTGTGCCAAGCAGCAGCCAGGTAACAGCGGCTCTCCTCTCTCGGGGCTGTCCCCTTGGAGTTATTCACGAATGTTTCTGTCTCCCGGCAGGTCTACTCACTGCTACTGTGGCGTCTCGAATTCACCGAGCAGCCCAGCCTGCCCTTCTCTATTTGGTGCCATTTACCTTATTGCCACTCCTCACGATGGCCTATTTAAAGGTGAGAGAGGCAGTTATAAACCAGTGAAAGCAATAACATGGCATTGACCCTGGACTTGGGTATGTATTCTCCTCACTGGAGGTGGTTCTGCTTAAGACCCTAAGCTCTTGATCTTGAGAGCGGATCTTTTTGTTTTTGTTGTTTGGGGAGGATTTTGTTTGTTTGCCTGCTTTTTTTTGCTAACCTGATATTAGCAACCTCTTCCAGGTTCTTACAGCCATTGGCTGACAATACTCATGAGTAGACCCCTTACCACCTGGTCATGGATTAATTAACTGAAATCCCTAAAGCCCCGCTACAGAGACTTCCTGCTTCTCTTAAAAAACAGCACCCTGGGGCCTCCCTGGTGGCGCAGTGGTTGAGAGTCCGCCTGCCGATGCAGGGGACATGGGTTCATGCCCCGGTCCGGGAAGATCCCACGTGCCGCAGAGCGTCTGGGCCCGTGAGCCATGGCCACTGGGCCTGTGCGTCTGGAGCCTGTGCTTCGCAACGGGAGAGGCCACAACAGTGAGAGGCCCGCGTACCGCAAAAAAAAAAAAAAAGCACCCTGTTGCCACCTAATAGCCCTTTAATACTCTGCATTAAAGTTTGGAAATAATTAAGAAATGCATTGTAAAAACTAAGGGCATTATCTGATTTACAAGATTTATATTATCATCCACATTTTACAGATGACGAAACAGGCACAGAGGTTCATTATCTTGCCTAGATCATCTGAATCATAAGTGATAAACTGCCACCAGGGCGGAGTTGGTAAAAGCCCTTACCCACTCAAGGGGCCTAAGAGCCCTTCTAGGAGTTCTTCAAAGAATGAGGGGTTACTTTTCAGTGAGTAAAATTTGAATGTTCTTTGATTCTCCACAGAAGCAATCTGATCTGAGATCAGGAGTCAGAAAGGACTTGTAGGTATGTATGCCTCGAGTTGAAATCTGTGACTTAGTGAAGTTCCTTCTTTCCCAGGGTGACCTACGGCGGATGTGGTCTGAGCCATTCCACTCCAAGTCCAGCAGCTCCCGATTCCTGGAAGTATGATGGATCACAGAGAGCGACCAGAATGGCCTCTCAGTCTTTTTCTGTCCACGTGTGGTTTTGTTTCCTCTTAGAGCTGGCCTGGTACTTGGAGATCTACCTGTCTAAGGACTGCCATGTGACCGGATTATGCATTTGCAGGAGCGAGGTGCTGGAGCCTGCGTGGTTCCTTCTCTTCCTGCCGTTGGAGAGGTGGAGCCCCTCCTGAAGTGACAGGCCTTCCCCAGCACTCCTCCCTCCCCCGTTTTTATGGATCTGCACCAGACTGTTAACCTTTGGGGGACGGAGATGTGACTGTTTAAACTGACAAGGGCAAGGAGTTGTTCTATACCTTTGAACACTAAAAGGATGAAAAACATTAGCGAACTGGTTTCCTCAGTGAACCCTCAAGAACTTTTGGGACCAGTTTCCTATGGGGGACTCAGTTTCAGAGAACTGAGACAGAAACTCTTCTGTCATTATATTCTTCTTTCCGTTTTTTGGATTTATTAAATATTTTCTGTGGTGTGAAGTGACTTATTAAATCCACAGACACTGAGTGACTTCTTACAACATACACATAAGAATTTGTTGTAATGAGTTCACGTCCACCCAGATGTTGTGTTGGCAGTGAACGAGGGCACGGTTTTTATACATACATACACACACATGCACATGGATATATATGAATAAACAAAAATTAAAACCTGCTAAGATCATGCTGTATAGCAGACAGGGGCTTGCTGTAATTTTTAGCATGTAGAGCAGTTCACTCTGGCTTCCTTGTATGTGGATAAGCGGCTGTCTTTCCCTCCACAACTGAACGTGCAGTTAAAAAACAGTATAGTATTTGTACTGATATACTCATGGACTTTAGGGGATGCTCATTTGGTTTTTGATCAGTGTAGCAAATTAGGGATGAAAAGTTAAAACTTTTTGGCCCTTTTTTCATTTTTACAGGCTTCTCCCTTGCAGGGTTTTTGATAGTTTCTTCTTGAACCAGTGCATGTATTATAGCAGCAGGTGTCTTTGTGCTTTCTGATCATAGTAATGTACTACTTGTAAATACATTTTTCTATTTTCTATTTTTTTGTATTTTTTTTTTTTGGCATTTTGTTTCATTGGTGTGCTGTATTTTCCATGCCCTCACTCCTTTAAGAAAAAAAAAGGAAAAAAGCAACACGATCCTGTCCTTGCTGTTGTGATTATAGTCTTGGTTTACCTGTTGTGACAACTGGGTTTTGGGGACAAATGTCAAACACCCCCGGAGATGGGCCCTACGTTCCAGGAATTGTGGCAAGAATGAGCTGCTGTGACCCTTAAATCTGCCCGTGTGCTGTGGCCTTGGCTGGAGACCCAGTGTCCCAGCAGTGACTAGTGGGAGTGGTGTCCACAGCCTGAGGGGGAATTGCCCGTTGTTTGGAGGCAGAGAGAAGCCGGGGATTGGCCTGCCCACCTGAGAGCAGGGGTTGGAGAAGGGCCCATGTTTCCTGGGCTCTCCCTTAAGCAGGTGACCTGTGTATAAACTGGGGCGCTGTGGGCCCCATGGCTGGAGGTCGCGGTGGGTGGCACTCACAGGTGGTGCACGTGGCAGTAAGGATGGTGTGCTCCTCCGTCATGTCTTCAGATCCTGCTGAAGGCTGTATGTTTTTTGTTGTTTTGTTGGTTTTTTTTTTTTTTTAAATAAATGACTCCTTTCTAGCCTTTATTACCTCATCTTCACTTTTGGTTGTTGGTACCAAATGGAGCTCCCGTCCCCTCCCACCTGCTCTGCCTGTTCAGGAGACTGACTTCAGGAAGCCCCTGTCTGTCTCCAGATGGGGTCTCCTGCAGCTCTGGTTCAGCCTACAAACATCAGAGAACGGAGGCTTCTGCTGTCCACAGAACTCAAAACAGCCTCTGGGTTTAGTGAAGACCAGAAGTACACCCATATACTCTCTGCTGAGCAGCTGTACTTCTTTCTTAGCCCTCAAGGATGCTAATGGCTGCTTAAACAGGGAGCAGAGCAGGAGGTGGGGGGAATCTTCCAGAATGACTGATTAACGGCAAGTGCCAATAATAGTTAAAAATAATATCCTGGCAGTTTGTCATTGTAATTTTTCTAACTTTTCATTACAAAACTAAATTCCAGACAGAAAGAATGTAAATTTTTGTCATTGCTTTTGTGCAGATTTCGGGGGAAAATACCCATACAGGACTCCTGAATGTAATTTGGATTCCAGTTGTAGTCTTCAGAGCCCTTGAAACTTCGGCAGAGTAACTGCGAATGTTCCTTTTGTTTTAAATTAAACACAGGAGACATGCTAGAATTAGCCCGGTTCTGGAAGTGTTAGGCTCTTCTAACGGGGAGAGGTTGAGGGTGGGGTGTGCAGTTAAAGCACATGCTCTCAGTTTCTCCTACAGACTCCCTCTATCCCCTGCTTCATATACTTATGTCCTGGTCTTATTTTTCCTGGTTTCTCAGATACTGAGTTTTGGGGTTTTGTATCTAAGAAGTTCTTGCATTAGGCAGGCATGTTGACAAAGTTCCAGCATGGACCCCCTTCCTCCCTCCCTCCCTGGTCTGGGGATCTTCTTCCCCCAAAGAGTCTGCATGTTGGAACTCTCACTTTTTCACAGTAACTTTCTTCTTTCTAATTTGAGCTAATGGAGATATGGCAGCAAAGTTTATCCAAAGCCTAGCATGTTCCATGACTATTATTACCACTTATGCCTTTTCTGAATAAGACAGCTGCACAGCTCCCTGTGTAGGAACAGTTCAAACTGAAACTGGGGCGGGGGGGCTTTGCAGGGGGCTGGGGGGCGGTAGGCTACTATCTGAATTGCCTTTGTAACATGCCAACACAGGCCTTGGTTAAGCAGGTAAGTTATGTTACCCACAAGAAAAACAAAAGGACTAGTTCTCTGTAAGAATGGAGGGAAGGGAGTTTTGCCAATGAAGTGTTAAAAATAGAATCTGCCGAGTCTGCATAGCAGCTCTCACACTACTGCTGACCAGATCCAGTGTTGTATGTAGACATTTGTGTTTTGTAAAGCCTAACATTTATGTCAGAGCCTTGGAATGTAGCAGTTTTGTACATATGTGAATGTCAACTGTGTAATTCTTCTCCACAGAGACAGGTCAGACAGCACAGGATCAGAAGGAAACCAGCCCATTCTGCTTCTGGTCTTCCAGTGCATACTGGCCTGGACAACCTCCTTCCTTCACTCAATCCCATTTTTTTGGCAATTTCCGTCACTGAAATCAAGAACAAGGGCTCCTAACACAGGTGTCAACCTTGCTACAGGAGTTTGTACTGAAAAGCTGCAAATCTAGTAGTAAAACTCGGGCCCTCCCCTCTTCTCAGAGGGATAAGCCAGGTAAGAGGGGTTTTTTTGGGTTTTTTTAATCCAGAAATTATTTCTATTCCTATGCAATTTACAGACTGCTTTCTACCTGCAAGCCTCTTAACTTCTTCAGGTTCGGAATCCAGCTTCTCATGTACGGAGCCTCTCCCAGGACAGTATTTTTCCCAGTCCTTCTTTTGACTATGGCAAGCCATAATTTGTTTCCTCCCCAAGCTTTTCCTTGGAATTCAAAGCCCTTTGCCATCCATTTGAGGTAATTCAGTCATGTTTCACTTAAACTGTGTTAGTCACTGGGTGCTCCTTCAACAGAACCAGACATCCTGATCCCTACCCTCGTGGTCTAACGCAGGCCTTGCTTCAACTTGCTTGATGTGTGGGGAAAGTGGGGTGGCAAGCATCCCCCGCTACGAGGTTACTCAGCGGCACAGCACAGAGCTGCAGTCATAGCTTTCTGTGCTCGAATCTGGGCTTAGCTGTAAATGGCAAAGGCGTGGCTGGGAATGCTGATTCACAGGGCTGGGCGCGCCTGGCCAAGAGAAGGTTGGAAGCAGGGTTGTAAGTGCTCTTTTTTCCTGTACAATTGGTGCAGGTGAAGCCCAGTGCTCCTGAGGGACACAGGCCAGTGCTGAGCCAAACGCATCCCTGACAGCTGAAGGCAGCAGCAAGTGCAGTCCGGAAGTCTCACTACTTAGAGCCAGCAGTTGGCTAGCTAGCAGGCGCTTTATCTCAGTGTCCTGCGGACCTTTGTGGAAATTCTAACTTCATGCAGTGCTCTTTAGCAGTGATCCCTTTGCTGTGATGTAGAGCTCTTAGATATTTGAGTTATTGAAGATTCACGTGGAAGGCTCAGGCTTAGTTATGGTTTCTTTCATTTGGATTCTGCCTAGTCAAAATTCTTAAGTTCCAAAAAGTTGGTCCCCTGTTGGGTGGAACCTGTAAATCCTGCCACTGGTTTGCAGGTGAACAGAAGCTCTGAAGGGTCCTGAAATAGGGGAGCCCCTGGGCTTCCTCCAGTGCCCACTGCGTCCTAGGGTTCTCACTAGACCCCAGGAAGACAGAGGAGTGGGAAGCCTGTTAGGGAGAGGAAACACGGGTTGGAACTGAGAGTCGGGAGGTCTGCCAGGCAGTGGGCCGCAGACTTCTGCCTTGTGAGGAATGAAAGACAGGAAGTGGGTGTCCAGAGGACAAAGGCGGAGGGCAGCAAGGTGGCCGCCTGCCAGCATTCCAGCCTCAGGATTCTGGGGGCCAGTCCTCTGCCTTGCCACAGACTTGCTCCTGCAGGCAGGTTGCACGTCAGCTTTCTAACGAGAGTTCACTCAGCCCGCTGGATCTTCCTGGGTGCAGCAAGCTCGTGCACCTAACTTCTAGTAGTTGAACCTTTTCCATTGGAGACGGTGGATTTCTTCCCACTTTCGGTCAGTGTTGTAGCTTGATTATTTTAGGTTTTTTCCCCAGGTATACAGTAGCCATGCCCAGCTATGCAGGCTTACAAGGGGAGGGCAGAATCCTGGCTTCAAAGAGGAGATTGAGGACTTGGTAGTTCAGGGAGGAGCAGCCCAGCCTTGGCCTCTGAGATGACGAAGCACTCTGCAGATGAGTCATGGTCTTGCCAGCTGGACAGTGGTGGAAACAGTGCTGCGCTCCCCAACGCTGTCAGCAGGTCGGGCCCCGGCCCCAGCCAGAGCTCTGTGAATGGAGAAACACCCTAACACACCCTGCTACCACCTCCCATTGCCCTGGCCCGTTCAGCAGCCACTGGTGTTTTCGGGGCCTGCGCCCTTGGATGTCACCTACTACTGGGTCTCCCTGCCTCCATCTGGCCTTCACCTTGGTCTTCACTGAGCTGTTTTGCCAATAGGCCTTCCCGTGAGAGCTGCCCCGGGCCAGGGTGGGGTGGGAAGGACAGACAGAACTTGGTGCCACAGTGGATGCAGAATGTGGCGATTGGAAGATGACTCCGGCTTCTGACCTGAACAATTAACTGCCAAAACTGAGATAAGGAAAAGAGAGTGAGTCCTGTTCTAGCCAGTAGAGTAAAGCTAAAAAGTTGGGATGAAAGCATAGAAATGGTATTTAAAGCCTTAGGGAATATACAAGCTGTTCTCAACAGTGAGAGGTAGGAGAATGGCTCCTACAAGGTGCTGTGCGTCGAGGCACCCGCCAGCACACATCCCTCACAGCCACATGGGGCCTTGCTTCGGTGACAGAGTCCCTCTGAGCCTTAGTTTCCCGATCTGGAATGGGAATAAAGGTGCGCCTTACTTAAAGTATTAAGTGAATATTAGGCACTGTTCAGGTTTACTGAGTTTTCGTGTACTCCACAATTTACCAGTCTTCATGGAGTTAAAATACAATTAAAAACATCAGACTTAAACAGATACACACACTTTCTTTATTCAAATGACCACAGCTTCTGTAATACTTTCAGTTCATCACTGAGGAAACTAGTTATCCTTCCACTGTTGAGGGGTGAAGGCTCTTCAGTCCTAGTCTAGGCTTTCAAAATTGAGTGGCTGCTGGATAGATAATAGGGTCTCTACCATCATCCTAGGCCAGTCCAGGATCTTGACATTTTCCTGGACACGCCGAAGGACTTGGCACAAGGAGTGCGGGGGATGAGTGAGCCTGAGTAGAGGTGGTCCAGGTCTGTGTGTCCTAGGATGTCTGGGCAGTCCCTCTGCTGCCACGGCTCCTCTGGGGAAGGGCCCAGCCGGTCACCCTGGTCAGGTTTCAGGAGTGACCCTTAGGAGCCATTCCTTAGGAGGTCAGCTTAGGCCTTAATCATTTTGCAGCCCAGTCCGAGCAGAAGGCTCGCAACAGAAGCATGAAATGTCCTGGCTACAGAACACAGAGGGGGCCTGCAGAGGGTCCTGGACTTGTTCTTGCAGTAACTCAGCTGGGACAGAGTCTGCCTAATGGATCCTTAATATTTTGGCGGCTTAAAGCCAAGAGTATCAACCTCTAACCAGATTCTGCAAACAAACCAACGTTGACCTTTCATTGGTCCAATGTTGACAATTTTATTTTTCTATACTTTTGATTTTCTTTTTCATAATAAACGCTTCCTATGCCCTCTTTTACTTTTTTGTACTTTACAGCTCTGCTGCTTGTTTTGAGGGAAAAGGTAACTGCTACTCTGTAAAGCTACCCGGTCAGTCACTGTGGGCCTGTATTCTCAAATCTCAAGGCTTGTCTTGAACACACTTGGAACAAAAGACTCAATGGGCCAAACTCCCAGCCTGCTTTCACATAAAGAGCAGCATCTTTCTAAGCCTCGTGGCTCTAGTCAGCCCACAAGACAGGAGAGGAACAGGAGCCAGACTAGGTAGAGGGTGAAGGCTACTCTTTGTTTTCCT